TTACCTTTCAAACTGAAGTTACATTGCAGTTTGTAGGCTTATTGTAATCCATTTCTCTGAGAACTTATTTTTTGACCTAGAAACCAATGGCTTCAAACAAGCTTTATTTTATTGTGTTGTTGAAACACTAAATGTATTGCTTCTCCATAGGTTTGTCTTTCTCAAATGGAAAATGGCATTTGTCAAAAGCTTTAGAGAAGATATAACTCTTAAACAGACTCCTGCCTGAGGAGGATGGAGTTCAATTTGACTAACAACAAATAAGCTGTTGTGTATCCATTGAGCCAGCGGTGACAGAATCCACCTCATTGAACTGAAGCAACATGTGGCCAAACCCAGAAGGAATCCAGAGAGGGAATCATCTGTGCAGGGGAGATAGACCGTGTTCTCACAGCTGTTTTCATCAGCTTGTGGCAAAATAACAGACAGATTTACTGATAAAAACAAAACGCTTAAGCAGTTTGGAATATAGTGTGCAATGACCCATCGTTATCAGCTGAAATCGCAATTTTAACTTTGGTCAGGCTATTTTTTAAATATTTTCAATGGACTACTATACAGAGTAAGTATAGAGAGTATTTTTGTAGGCCAAAACCCGGAAACAAGTTAGCATTTTAGCACTTCAGGTTCAGCAAGTCATGTGCATTTGTGAAATTAATCTCGGATGACCTGTAACGATAATTCAATGAAGGCGAGCGTAATGAACCCAAGTGCAGTGTATTGAACAAGTGAAATCTAAAATACAAACAAAGACTTGACTTGACTTGACTTGAAACAAAAACTCACCAGCAGAGGGTTACACGAACAATACTCGACGGGAGAGCTCCGGGTGTGTGTTCACGGTGTGTGTGTGTTCACTGCTGTTTGTGTGCACTTAGGATGGGTTAAACGCAGAGCACTAATTCCTAGTATGGGTAACCATACTTGGCCACATGTCACGTCACACGTCACACTTGCAGTCGGGGCAGAATTAAAAGTGGAGACGTCAAGTCTGACACTTTCTTCTACGGGTAGTGATGCTCTCGCAGTGTTTGCATACTCTATGACAGAAAAAGTGAATTAAATGCAATATTTCTCAAATATACAGAAATGTTTTTATGATCAACAGAAACACTTTTTATATAGTGCTTAAGTTAATACAGCGTCATCTGTTCAAGAATAAACATATAGGCTACTAAATACCGATAAAGTGGGGGAATATATGCTTTTATCAGTGTTTTTGATGAAAATGACTCAATATAACAGTGCGACTACATTAAAAATGCTTTTACTGTTATAAAAACCCGGATTTGTGAGCATTATTGGAATTGAATTGTTAGAATAAGCACGCAACACACGTTGTGCTTGTCATCGCAGAATCTGACCAATGAGAATAAAGTGTGTCGTCATCAAGGCTTTCACAGCCAATTTTGAGCAACTGCAGCGCCTGACCTCGGCGGCTGGTCTCGTTTTGCTCTCGCAGTACTTTGATGGCACATGTGATCGTAAGGCGGCTGCAGCGCCGATCAAAGTCGGACAAATGTTCTAACCAGAATGCATTGCTTTTGTCAGGCGGCAGCCGATCTTTGCAGCACCGCATGAAGTCGAACAAGCCTAATGGCAACATGAGGGCTACTTATACCAAACAATACAGGTCACATGAGACAATCCAACCAATGAGAAACAAGACACATGACTAAGACAACCAATAACAACAGGACACATTGAACAAAGGAACTAATAGCAGGATCACATGACAGGGTAGGGAAACACATGACAGGAACATGAAACATGCTAAATATCAAAATAAAAGACAAGGATACCTAAACAAGAAACAAAACCTCCAAAACCAGCATGACATGACCAAATGTTTAAGAATTAGAAACTTTTGTTGGTCACAGAACTTATTTTTTTACAGTAATCCAAAAGCCAATGGAAAAATCTATTGGGTTTTTGTCCGGGGAACCAAGGTGATGCTAACTTCTAGGTAGGACCTACAAAAACACGTCATTACTGCAGCAAAAAAAAAAACAGAGAAAAAAAGTGCATTTCGGCATGAAATGAAAATTCATCTATTGTATCTATTTTTGTAAATGCATGTTGTTATTGATCTTTTTGTGGACACTTCATCCATGCATATGTTTCATTTTGTAATGTTTAATTAAAATATTACTTCTCCAATAATTTAGTCGGATTTTCACATTTTGGGTACAACACCCACATCTCAAAATCCAATGAACAACCAATGCAGTCCCCGCCCTACATTGTATTTCTCTTTTGATAATCTTGGATTTATGTCACAATATGGAACAAAAGATCAGTTGTTACTTTCTTTACGTTGCAAACTGTACGAAAAAAAATTATAACATGTCTTTTTTAAAATAACTTTGGAATTGGAGTCGCTTTAACAATTCCACGGCTGTATAAGTATAAACACCCACCTCATACTGAATCCCATGACCTGAGGTCAAAGATAAAGGATATGCAGCCTGTATTTCTTTAGGAAGTGATGGATGAAATGATGTATCGGGTTGCATAGAGGGTCTGTGAGCAGATATGGCAGGGATGACCTGCTACGGCGTTTTCAGCTTGAGAAAGCACCGAATCTCTGACACAATCTCCCATTACTTTGTGTCCCTGGCCTGTGGATAAATGTTGTCACGTTCAGGGAAGCCACTTGTCTAATGGTTTCCACCATGCATAAAGCCATGAAATTAAGTAGCAATGGCTGGTTCAGTGACAGTGCCTTGTTTTCCATTTGGTTTCTGATTTATTGTGGCGAGTGATTTCTGGAGATGGAAATTTAACGGAGGCGGTGAGAAAAGAGGCTTCTGTGTCTCATACGCCGGTGTGTGTGACGGAAAGGCAGGGCTGGATGTCAATCTGTGAAGTCCTCTGTGGAATTGGATCTAAACCAAGGGGAAAGACTGAATGAAGTGTCTCTCCATTTTCACTCTCGGCTCAAGAGGAACAATAACAGATGCAGTTGATAGGAAATATGTATTCTGAGCAGCAGAGTAATTCAAGAGTTTGAGAGAGTTCTCGTTCTGTCTCATATTCACTCTGTTCTCTCTTTAGAGTTTCTATTTTATTTTTCACACACATTCCACCCAAGCCTCAGTGCAACACCATTGTGTCAGTCAGTGCCCCCCCACTGGAGCCTGGATCTCTGTGACAGTGGGACTTTAAAGTTTTCCAGCATGTCGTCCTGTCAGAATGCAGGCCACACGCTTTCACCTTCAGCCCTCCACTAGTAACACCCATAATTACCCACTGGGTGGTTTGGAGGAAGTTGGGTGTGTGGGGAAAAAGCCCTGAAATGGATCAGCATGGCCATTGGGTTCAGGGTGGACAACAGCAGCTGTAATTAAATCTGACAAGTGATTAATGGTGTCTCTAAGACTAATTTGTCTGTACCAGTATTTATTTATTTATTTATTTCAATTAGTGTTGCTGGATGACAGTAAAAGGGATGACGGAGCTGTCCAATACTGTGGTGCTGAAATGCAGTGATCTGATTATAAAACTCTGGGGGGGCCGTCTCATGCTGTGCTTTTTATCAGCATTAACATTCCTATCGCCCACTAGATGTAATGGGATTTTATGCGATAGTTATTCTAGTCCTTTCAAAATATTTGCTGATAACAAACCACTGATTTTCAGCAGCAGAAATAAGTCTGAAATGTTGTCTTATCAGCAAAAGCCTCTGTTGCCTAGAAAATAGTTTGAATTAGTTTTGATTCAACTAGTGAAAACAACTTTGAACCTTTTCTGTAATTATTACTTATAACTACAATAAAACATACAGTATGTTACAAGTATTATGGGACAGCATTTTGTCTGTATTTCACAGTTCCTTACTATATATGTCAAGTTAGGAATCCTATTTGCTACTAAAACCTGCCTATTAGCATTGAAAAAATGTAAATAAACGCTAAAGAAATGTGATTGTTCATGAAGGGAGTTTTGATAATGCACCTTTCTCCATACAGTACATTAAGGAGTAATCCTTTTTACTTATTAAAACAGATGTTTAACAATGTAATACTGTAAAAGTTTGCATATTGCCTTTTAGGAATCCTATTTGCTACTAAAACCTGCCTATTAGCATTGAAAAAATGTGATTGTTCATGAAGGGAGTTTTGATAATGCACCTTTCTCCATACAGTACATTTAAGGAGTAATCCTTTTTACTTATTAAAACAGATGTTTAACAATATAATACTGTAAAAGTTTGCATATTGCCTAACAAAAAATAACACGAATCTTCTCCATAATTTATAAGGTAGTTTTTCTATATTTTACAGTAAAATACATGTATTATCTCTTTAGAAAGAATGGGTTTACAGTTGTAAATAAAACAAAGATTATTAAAGTATGTTGTACAAAATTACATATTTTGTAATTTCAGAAGTCTTTCTGCTTTAAAATTTCACATTTAATTCAATGTAATGCAATTTGTTGCAATGCATTTTTTTCCCTCCCTCCCAGTGTATACGATAAGGTAACTTAAAGTTCAATTTACCTGCACTACCACTATCGGGTGAGAACAAAATGTGAACTGAATTAAGCTGGATAATGACACTAACATCGACAGTGTTATTAAACTGAATTGAGTCAACATTGAACTGACATGAGCTAAGTAGGCTAATGACACTTTTTTCTTATGTAGAGCTAGTTGAACTCGTTTTATAATTGGTGAACTATATTGTATAAAGCGCTATGTAAATAAATGTGACTTGACAGTTAACCAACTAAAAGGTTTTTAATGTAGCATTTTGTGCGTTAATTTCCCCTCGTTATTTTTGCAGTGTGCGTTGTCCGTTGTATTTCAGAAGTTAACCGCCGTGAGAAATAGCTCAGGCAGTAATGAGCCGTATCTATGGATCAATAGCGTGATGCTACGCCGAGAGAGAGCAAAGCACGAATAATATGTGAAAGAATGCGCTAGGGGTGGAGTTCTGCTCTTTTACTTTCCACTCCACACAGTGCAGACAGAGAGATCTCACCGCTGTCAGAAGTCGCGCACCTGTACTCTTCCTTGAGGTTTTCATTTAGCAAACCAAACCCTTTATGTAGTCTTCTTTTTTTTTCTTGCAACATTGCTGATTTCTTATTTTGAGCGCATCACAGGGCATCCGCGGACTCCAGCACAGACGCTGATTCTCTGTCACCCTGCTGAGCTGGGAGATTTTAGTAAGCACCGCAGGACCCAGAACTGCAAAACTGTTTGAAGTAGAGAGCTTCCTCTTGTCCCGCGCGCCCATGGAAGGCGACGTTATGGATAAACTAGAGGACATGGCCTCAGTGTGCGAGTTCGACCCTATTACGGGGAATATTCCCGCCACCAAAGTGGAGATCACCGTCTCGTGCAGGTATGACTCACTCAAGTTGAAATCTCTTTGATTTCATGGCGTTTATAGTTCATGTTAACCACATAATATCAATACTTTGACTATATAAAAATTCTTCAAATTTTACCGTGTGTTAGTGGTCTTAAGTTGAATATTTGGTTCTGTTGGAAAAATTGTTTGATTTTTCTTCTTTCTATGTTTTTTTTCCCCAACCAGCATACTGGTTCTGTTAATTGAGAGCATGAGAAGCATCAGTATGTAAATGGGTTTGGTCTAAAGAAGCATAGAAATGTTCTTCTTTGGGATGAGACTTTATTTTAAGCATTATTTAGCATAGTTTATAGCCTATAACTGTTAATGGAATGCACTTTTGGTTATGAGCTGCCATTAATTATAAAAAAATAAAATAAAGTTTTAGAAGTAACAGTTCACATGCAACAATTTTGACTCAGATTTTCTGGCTCTACAATACTGATATGAGCGTAAATATCTAATATATCTGGTTAGTTGCGTCTATATAGGCTGCTTGCCCAAAGTACTTCACCTCAGCTGTCTCCATATAGAGATGCCATAAGTTGTCAGATGTTCTGAACATCAGGGAAAGTCCCCTATAAACATCATCTTTGCTTTACATCAATAATAAACGTCACGTTTGTGTATTTAGTTGCGTTATGTGAACTGCTTGTTAGAGGAAATCCATCTTCAGTTTTTCATCGAATTATTTTTTGTTGGCTTGTAAAATATGATATTACTAGTTGCCAAATCATAGTACTGTAGTACCGAAGCAAACAGAGAATATTCATGAGAAGAAGCATAAAAACCCCACCCAGATGTCCTCATGTCAATGGATATATTCTTCACTACAGTACAAAATAGCAGAAAGGGGTTTTTATATGTCGCATGCAACATAATTCCTGTAATTCCAATGTTTTTTTCGGCTGATGCTTATCAACATCTTTACTTTCAGAGCAGACAACGTTGCTCTTATTTAGAATGCATCACTAAAATGCTGCTGCTGGTTCTGAGATGTGGTAAAAAGTAATTTCAGTCATGGGGCTCCTCAGCCAGGACCACAGCCGGTTCATTGCTCAGACTGATAGGAGGGCTATTGGTTTGGGTTTTCAATCATCTTGAGGAGTAATGGATACGGCTGGCATACGCAACATCTGCTATGTCTTTAATAGTCGCTTATAGTCAATTATACACGCTTCAGTCCAATTTAGACAAAATGATTTTACTGAATTTCCCAACTTGACAGTCAGACCATCTATTTAATGAGAGCAATTTCCTGTGCAAGTAGCTAATAACCATAAGCTTGCCAACTTCTCAGCTGCAAGTTAATATTGCCTGCTGTCTGCATTGAGAAAGAAAGAAAGAAAGAATATTGAATATGGGTGTAATTTGGTCTGATTGTTAGCTGAATGAATTTCTATTTTAAAGACCAAGACTTCATCACATTAACTAAATGTGATCTCAACTGTTTTTAATTAAGTAGATAGAAATTGCTTTTAAAATTTAAATACATTTGCAACTTAATGATTATACAAATACAAGCAATAGTACCAATTATACATTACACAAAACTCTATATATAAGTTGGATTTTAATTTGAACTTGGCATGACATGAATTTGACAAGGGTCTTAAATAACATGCACATATAAGAGGATATTTTTTTTTGCATTTTCTACCCGTTTCTCCATTCTTTATCTTCCTTGTCAAATAAATAAATAAACTACAAAAAATACAAAAATCCTAAAGGAATTAGAAAATTCTAATTCTAAAAAAAAATATATATATATACCGTATATATCTGGATTAAACTTAAAATAGGAATATTAGTTTGTCCTGTAGTACCTCATTTGATTCTAAGATAATTTTGAGAAGATTTGTTTGATCAGATTAGGATTGGTTCCCAGTTCTAATTATGAAATTCCATCAGCTGTGCTTTATAGGATTTTTCATTTTTCTCGGTTCTACATACCCATAACTGCAATAATCAAAAACGGATAAAAAAACTCATTAGTGTTCAAATATGTGATCTGATTATAGATTTTTGTAAAAAAATATTTTTGTTATTTTAATTGAATTAGATTTTTGCCACCTTCTTGCGCCTGTGATTGAATAAATGAATAAGTAAATCTACTGGCCCTGAACCGTTATGGCCTTCTCTGTCAGTGCAGAACATTCTCTCCAGGTCTGTGATGAGACTCTGTGTGGCGGAGGTGGAAATCATCACCTGCGTTTGTTCTCTGTAATTGATTTAGTTTGGGCTGATTATCAGGGGATTGTGGCAGACATGGAATTGAATCGCTTCACTTCCCCCTCCAGATTCCCTCATAACCTGCTGATGTTATTGGAGAGCAGAAAGTTTGGTCTGACAAACCAGAGGCTTTGTGATAACCCTTATCACAAACAAAAGCTGTCCTGTGGGTGAGAGATACGCGATTGATCCAGTTGTCTGGCACTAATTGGGTTTTGATTGGTTTGTTTTACCATGGTCAAATGGCAGAAAAAAGTTTTTGGATATACTTAGTGGGTCTTAGAAAGATACTTTTTTGTTATACACTACCGTTCAAAAGTTTGGGGTCAGTAAGATTTTTTTTTTTTTGAAAGAAATTTATAAGAAATGTTACTTAGGCAGCAAATCAGCATATTAGAATGATTTCTGAACGATCATGAGACACTGAAGACTGGAGTAATGACTGCTGAAAATTCAGCTTTGCCAGGAATAAATCCCGTTTTAATGCTTCAAATAACAAATATGCATTTTAACTTGCAAAACATTTAATCCTAAATATTTTGGACATCAACAAAGCTTGCTGCTGGGAAACATGGTTTTAGCAAGGGTGTCCATGCCAAAAACTATGTGTCCCTGTTGTTACTGTCCTCCATGAGTAGCTCTCTGTGTTGTAAAAGTGGAGGAATAAAGTTGCAGTTGTTGGCAAGCTTCAGTTTCACTGCAGATCCACGTCCTCCTCTTGGTTGACCTTGCAGGTGAGGAACCAGATCATGGAATACATCAACATTCACTCTGCACCCCTCTGCTGCTTGACTCTCTAGGCTCTACTCTGCTGAGAAGGGCTCTGTCTGGTGGGTATTTGCAAACCTGGAGATGATTTACGGATGGGGTTCAGCTCCATTCTCAGCATGTGACTTGATTCCAAATGTAAGCCGTTATTGTTCTTTTGCTATTTGTTCAGCTCCAGTGCCTGTTATTGCTGGATTTCCTCGTCTGGTTATATATGCTACAATAACAGAGCACCTTTAGTCCCAGAGCTGTGAATATTACAACAAATGTTTATGTATTCCTTATTGTCCTGCTTCCAACATGTCTTCTTTCCTAGAGTTAAAGGTATTGTTCTCCCCACAATGAAAATTTGCTCACCCTCAGGTGACCAAAGGTGTAACTAGATGAATTTGTTTCTTCATCTGAACAGATTTGGAAAAATTTAGTATTACATTGAATTGCTCACCAATGGATGCTCTGCAGTGAGTGGGTGCCATCAGAGTCCAGACAGCTGAAAAAGCATCACAATAAGCTACAAATAATCCACATGACTCCAATCCATCAGTTAACATCTTGTGAAATGAAAAGCTGCATGTTTGTAAGAAACAAATCCATCATGAAGGCGTTTTAACTGTAAACCGCTGCTTCCAAAATAGAGTTCATAATCCATAATAATGCTTCCTCCAATGAAAAAGTCCATCCACTCCTCTCACATCAAAATCCACCAATATATTTGTTTAGAACTGTTTTGGACTGTTTTCTCTTGTAAACAGTGCTTGATCTTTGCATATTTCTCTTGATTTAGACAAGATGACTTTTTCACTGCAATATTATGGATACAGGACTTACAGTATTTTAGCTGCAAGTAATTTTTTTAAGTTAAAAATGTCTTGATAAATTTAATTTTTACAAACACAGTTTTAGCTTCACAAGACATTATTTTATGGACTGGTGTCATGTGGATTACTTGTGGATTATTGTGATGTTTTTATCAGCTGTTTGGACTCTCATTCTGACGGCACCCATTCACTGCCGAGGATCCATTTGTGGCCAAGTGATGTACTGCTAAATTTAGCCAAATCTGTTCTGATAAACAAGCAAACACATCTGCATCTTGGATAACCTGAAGGTGAGAAAACTTTCAGCAAATGTTAATTTTTGGGTGAACTATTCATCTAAATACTCTGCCACCAAAATGAAAGAACAATCAGATGCTACTTGAACTTTACCTGGTGATGAAGGAAGTAACTCCAAAGTGAGACTGAGAAAAAGAGAAATGTAGAAAGATGGATGGAATTAATTGACTGGATAGATGGATAGATGGATGGATGGTGAGGTCTTCAGCGTGTGATAAAGATGCAGAATCAGTGGCAAAAGATGTGAGAGGCTTAATGAGATTTACAATCATTATGTATTCACTCTGTAATCTACTGCAGAAGTGGTTGTGCATGTGTGTGTGTGTGTGTGTGTGTCCTAGTTTATGCATTGTTTTCATCCAGTCTCTATTCACATCTTTTTGTCCTGTTTTTGTAGTGATTTTTTTTCTGTAGGATTGATTGACATTGGATATACAGGAATTGACCGATATTACACTGTGGCAGTAATTTTGAATCTTTAATAATAAACAAGTCTGTGATATGGCCAATATGTGATTAAAATGAAATCTTAGGTTGGTAGAAAACAGTTTTTTAGAGGAGGGACTGAGTGTCTGACCTCTGCGTGTCACAGAGGGAAGCGCTTAATATGGTGAATAGTCTAACAGATGGTTGAGGGAAAAAAAACAGCTGCTGAATGGATGGATGGGCTGGGTGAGAGCTTGGCCAGTTGTTAATTGAGTTGACTGATTTAGTATGCGTATAAATGTGTTAGTAGAACGAGTGTGGGTATGCCTGCATTTTGACAGAGGATGGTGTCAAATCAAAGAGCTCAAAACGGCTGTCTCACAAACCCATAATTCTCTTGTGTGCTCTTTGTGAGATACTGGGAGTAACAAGAGGCTTGTCTACACTTGC